GTGCCCTTACAAAAAGAGGAGGGAACACACGGGCAGGGAGGAAGGCCACGTGAAGACAGAGGGAGCCTGGAGGGATGCGGCCATGGGCCAGGAACACCCAGGCTTCGGTCACCCCCCAGAAGCCGGAGAGAGGCAGCATGGATTCTTCCCCGAGCCTCCAAAAGGAACCAGCCCAGCCCATTCCTTGATTGCAGACTTCTGGCCTCAGAGGACTGTGAGAGAGAATCCATTCCTGTCATTTTAAGCGACCCGGTTTGTTCGTTACAGTGAACTAGTCAAAGTTTACACTCTACTATATGTCTGCTTACGTGTCTATACGTTAAACATAAGTAGTCCACGTGAAGATGCTATGTACACTCTAAACCCACAACTGGCAGGAAGCAGGAGGCACCCAGGAAGAGGGAGGAGGGAGGACAAAGGCCAAACCTGGTCCCCTGTGAGGAGGGCTGGCGGTGGCGGGGCGGGGGACAGAAGCCACGGGAGGGACTGTTGGTCCTGGCCCGCTGTATTTCTTAAGGGGGCAGCGGTACGTGATCTTACTGTTTTCATTTCTGTTCTTTTGTCGAATGATCTATTTCCTAATAAAAGGTTTTCAAATGGGACTGGACTTGGAGTCGTGTTTCGCACGCCCTGGCCCATGGCTTGGGTAGGTCTCCAGAGCTCTCTGAGCCTCAGCGTTCTCACTGGTCACAGTAGGTGACGGTGCCACCTTACAGAGTGGACAGATGGGAGCGCCTGGCTGAGGTGGGCAGGACTTGTCGGTGCCCCAGGGACCAGAGCGGGACCCCAATGGGGAGGGTGGCATCCAGACATGCAGCTGGGCCCTACGGCAGTTCAGGTCCTTTCCAATGGGATCGAAAAAAGAACGGGTCTTTTTGTCATGTAACTGGACACTTTTTATAATGCCACTTACGCCTGTGGCAGTTCAGGTCCTTTCCAATGGGATCGTGTAACTGGACACTTTTTATAATGCCACTTACGCCTTCGTGTAAATACCTCAACCCTGGCCTTTGCTGGAAGCCTGCAACTCTCCTGACGCCACTGTCTCCACCCACGGGGGCCTGAGGAACAGGTTCTCTCCCAGGTGATGTAAACTGGACCCCGGGAGGTGAGTGCGTCCCCACCCACAGGATGCGTCCTTCCTCACTGCTCTCTGTGGACGTTTCTGAGCGATGGCCGGCATCCGCAGGACGGCGAAGGTGGCCGGGGCAGGGGAGGCTGTGGGACGGCTGCGCCCCCCGCCCCCCAGTCCCTCAGCCTCAGCTCGACAGGCCGCCCGGGCGTCGGGGAAGCATGCCCGCGGCAGTGCTGGCTGTCGGATCACCTTCTTCCCGGCTTCCAGCTCGCTCGGAATAACATCCATGGCTCCACTGCTGCCGGTCTTCCTCGCAGCCCCCAGAACCTGTCGAGCCGGTTCCCACCCCAGGGCCTTTGCGCTTGTCACTCCTCCTTACCCCCGGAACACTCTGACCTGGCCCTTCACTTGGCTGACATCTCCCAGTCACTGAGTTCTCACCCCAGAAAGTCACCTATTCCGAGAAGTCACCAGGCCAGGTAGCCCCTATGGTCCGGCCTGCCTCTCCTTCCGCTCTCTCTGTGCCCTGCTCCCGGCTGGCCTTGGTCCCAGGGGGGAAGGGAGAAGCTGGGAGCTTCAGGCAGTGAAGCCTGGGAGGGGAAAGGGGGAGAGAGAACCAGGCCAACTCCGGTTCCAGCTACTGCAAGCCTATGATGTCCTGTGAGGCCAGGTGCCAAGGACACAGGGTGAGAAGTCACTGACTGCCTCGGGCCCAGGGAAAGCAGGGTGGTTCCTGGAAGAAGCAACGTCGAAGGTAGGACAGAAAGAATGAGCAAGGGTCAGTCACATGAGAGGAGGGGAAGAAAGTCGAGGCTGAGCCTGCGAGGCCGCTGTTCACCGAGGCCAGAGTCCACTCGGCCCTTTGTCCCCTCTCCCCAGAGATCTGGGGCGCTCAGATTTGCTCTGCCTGAGGGAAGGGAAACCTTGCAAGAGGGAGCGGGGGTTCCTCCTTACCAGCCCCTTCTCTGGGGCTCCCTGAGGGGCCGCTCCGGCCCTCTTCCCACGGCCTGCAGCAGGCTCCTCCCCGCCCAGCGGTGCCAGCTCAGCTCCAGGGGCGCGTGGGACAGGGCTGGATGCTGCGGGCTCCCGGCCACCCACCCACCCACCCACCGGCCAAGCAGCAACCTGCCTGGGGAGAACAAGCTTCAGTCACTCATGAGAAAGATAATGAAGACCTCTAATAAAAACCGAAAAAACCAAACCAACCAGAACACCTCACCGCTGGCACCGGCGAGCCGGGGAGCAGCGGGAGTGGCTTCTCCAGGGCTGAACGGAGCCCGTCTGAACCACAGGATGGGGAGGGGCGGAGAGGAGCAGGCTGACCACGGGGACAAAGTCCTGGGTCTGGGGACCCTTGCTCGGAGGACACGGGACAACAGCAGCTACACGGAGGTCTGGAAGCGCCTGGCTTTGGATCCACACTTGGCCTTGCGCCCCCTGTGCTCAGCCCCTGTCCCCTCGAGGAACCCCCGGAGCAGATCCACGGGCCTGGCCAAGACGGCGTCCACGGTCCCCTGAAACTGGCTGATGATACTCCAGCTCGTTTGATGACAAATGGCAGCGGCCAGCCCACAGCCGTACGCTCGGGAGGCCCTGTGTCTCCGGGTCAGACGCCCGGGTGCGGAGCCTGGCACCCTGACTTCCTGTGTGAGCTTAGGTGGGCGGCTTTACCCCTCTGTGCCCTGGTCCCCCGGTCTGCAGTGTAGGAGTGGCAGTGGCCCTCCCGCGTACGGTTACTGCTCCAGTCCTCTGGCGCTCCCCGTCCCCCGGGTGTGATGAGTGAGCGAGTCCTACGCGCGCGCGTGCAGGGCAGTGCCTGGCATGCAGTACGGGCTGGACAGCCGCCAGCTGAAATCGGCCCCTTCCTGCCCTTTCTGGGCACGGGGTGGGGGCCGTGGGGTCCAGATGCGCTAAGCCTGCCAGGGCCACAAGCGCAGATGCCCACAGAGGCTGTGTGCCCTGCGGGCCCGGCGCAGGAACTTCGGAAGGGGCCCTGTGACTGTGGCTGAGGATTGGAGGGAAGCCTTGAGGACCGGGGCCTCGCCACATGAAGGGAGAGATGAGGGAGCAGGCATGAAAGCGCCAGGCGGGGGCAGGCGGCGTCCACCCGCCGCGTGGGTGTCGTGGGCTGTCTCCACGTTGCGCGCGGGGTCCCTGGGCTGAAGCCTCCCACATGGAGGTGTGTGGGCCGCTGTTACCATTGGTGTCATTGCTTAGCCCTCCCTCAAGAAGGAGCGGGTCGAGGGGGCATAGGGTTCGCTTCCCAGTGGCTCCACGCGTGGCTTCGTCCTGGGGGAGAGTGAAGGGGATCGGTATTGGGGTGAAGAGCGGGAAGAGGTAACCCCCTAGCCAGGAGGCCAGACCCCAGTCACCGTTCACTTAACCTGCACTCACTGAACGTCTGCTACATGCCGGGTGCTGTCCTGGGGGCTGGGAGTGTCACAGTGAACAAAATCAGGGGTGTGTCCCCAGCCCTGAGGGGCTTCGGTCCTATGGGAAGAGGTGACACCATTGGCAAAGCTAATGTGTAAAAAGAGCCATTCGTTCCACTTTCCTGAAAGAAGTCTCCAAGGCCAGTGTGTGAAACTTAACAAAATTCTGTGCAGTCTGGGTTTCCCCCAGGAACCCCCCGAAATGGCCCTCTCCTTGACAGCCGGAGAACCCAGCTCAGCGCTCCTGTTACCTGACTCTGCTGACCCATGGCCTCCCCCGCAGCTGTGACCAAACCCCCTGGTTCTGTTTTAGGGCTCCTCGCCCCATGGTGACCCCTCAAGCACTGAGACGCCGTAGGGCTCCATCGCAAGGCCTCCCGTCCTCTCTGTCTGTGCTCCCTGGGCAAGCTCATCCTTTCCGGAGGCTTCAGTGACCGTCTAGAAGCTGATGGCCCCTGAGCTGGGTTGAATGGTGGCCTCCCCGAAGTCATGTCTTCCTGGGACCTCAGAACGTGAGCTTACGTTTATAGACGTTAGTAGGTGAGTTAAGATGAGGTCACACTGGAGTGGGGTGGGCCCTAAATCCAGTGACTGGTGTCCTTGTAAGAGGACCGCATGAGGACACACAGGGGAGAAGGCCACCTGCCGCGACAGAGACGGAGAATGGACGACGCAGCTGCAAGGTGGGGACACCAGGACGGCCAAAAGCCGCCAGAAGCTGAGAAGCTAAAGAAGGCGTCTTCTTCCCTTGAACCTGTGAGAGAGCGCGGCCCTCGGATGCGGTTCCATAGTGTAGCGGTCAGCGCGTCTGCCGTACACGCAGCAGGGCCTGGGTTCCCACCCCAGTGGAGCCAAGGTCCCTGGTCGACGGCCATGCCGCCCTGAACAAGCCGGATGTCTGATCTCAGAAGCTAAGCAGGGTCGGGCCTGGTCAGTACTTGGATGAGAGGCCACCTAGGAAGACGAGGTGCTGTAGGCTTAAATAATAATAATAATAATAATGAAAAAGAGACAGCATGGCCCTGCTGACACCTTGACTTCCGACTTCCGGTCTCCAGAACTAAGAGAGACTAACTTTCTGTTGTTTAAGGTGCCCAGTGTGTGGTCACTTGTTATGGCGGCCCTAGGATGCTCGCAGCCTCCAATCTGTACCCCCTCATGACCCACGGGACTCTCTCCCAAGCTCTGTTCCCACTTCAAAGCCCCTCTTCCAGGGGACTGGGCAGCTGGCCACCCCAGCCATCACCCAGACCCCTCCCTGCCCCCGCCTGGCCACCCGGTGACTCATCCAGCCTTGCGAATTCCACCTCCTGACTTGTTCTTGGAGATCAAACAGACGCAACCAAACGCAACTCCGCAAACTTGACGGGACCTTGGCTTTCAAGACAAA